AGGAGGGACCTTTTATTCTCCAGGCTGAACAGCCCCAACTTTCTCAGCCTACCTGGGCAAGGAGTGGCTCTCACTGAAACACTCAGGACATGACATTATCATCAAGTGTTCCAAACCAGTTACAAACTGTGCTGCTCTTCCACTGATGACCTTAACAGTAAAATACTGCCTCAAATCCATACTGATCAAGAGTCTTAGAAACATTGTGCTAATACTTACCAGGTCTGCTGCCTGCTCAACAAAGATATTGTTTCCAAATCTGATCTTCTGTATGATTTCAGCTGGAACATCTGCACGCAGCTTGTGCTGTTGGTCTATGAGCTGCTGCAAACGTTTGCTTGGGAACACATCCTCTGTACAAATGTAGACAGCTCCTGCAGCCAAGGAAACCACAGGGCCCTTACACACTCAGTTTCATTAACAGCACACAAATGATGGCAGAAATTCTGCATTTAAAAGCTGGAAATTCGTGTCTGTTTGGTTATCTAAAACACCTGTGCTAAATTGTGTTGAGACAACAGCTCCTCAGTAAAACTTTGTGGCCTTCTCAGCTGCCATGCTTATTTAAGCTGACTGCCCTCTGCACAGTGCTGCTTTCGTGCTGAAAGACAGGGATTTCTCACCATGAATTGTGGGCTCACACAGAAATCTGCTTTCTGAAAACCAGACCTGACTTCAACCTTGTCCTCCCCTTGGTTTACTTAAAAAGGGTGGAATGTTCATTTCTTCAGATTTCATAGTCACTGGGGTTCTTCCAGATGCAGATTTGCATTTCTAGATAGATTGATGCTCCATTGATTAAATAATTGTATTTTGATCCATAGTTATTGCAACATTCAGAACACTGAAAACACATTCACGAGTCCAACAAAACCCAAACAAAAATCAGCAATTTCATTAAATATGTTTTTTAGGCCAATAAATGTGTTATGCTGGTCATTGACAAAAAAATACCACCAAAACCCAACCAAACAGGAATAAAACTCACTAAAACCCCCCAACCTCAAAAAGAAAAAAATTTGATTCCTATGATCATAATCTATCAGGCACCAAACCAGCTTGTTACCAAGAATCAGTAGCAAACATCATTTTCTAATTCAGAATTCTAATAAGGATATTCATTTGTTCCATTATATTCACATATTACTTATGAATATGGGCATTTAAAATAAACTCAGCCAACACAACTGAACACAACTGACATTCCAGGACAGCAGAAAGATATCCTGGAGGCAAAGGAGGCCTTTGTTTACTTCCAGCATTTCTTTGCTGCCAACCTCCTTGCCCTGAGAATTGCAAACAAGACTAGCACTAAATTTAATGAAGTAACTGTTTAAAGAAATGTATTTCAACATCACCACCTATAAGAAGGGAGGGAAGTTTGTAATCAGTAAAAAAAATATAATGCAGGGATAATAATAATACAGGGATAATTTTAAATCAGTAGCAAAATCTTCCACTGGCAGTGAGAGTTTTTAAGCATTGCTGTTCTCCTCAAGTTTCCTAAAGGATAAAACTCCTCACATTTAATCTGAGATTTAATTGCTGTATTTCTCATGGGAGGCTCAACACAAGAGTGCCAGTAGGGTGTTGGGCACCTTGCTCTGTTCCTTGATTTCAACACAAACAGGAAGAAGTGCTGGAGCGTGGATAAAAATGTATTTATTTAAACTATGTGCAGCAGTTAGCAGCAGCACACAAAGGAACAGAACAAAATATAATTGTTTCTGCTCTGAATAATGACACCATGTAAGCCATTTAAGCAAGACCTCAGTTTGTACAGTCCCTGATTTTTCCACAAGGGTGGACACAGTGAAAGGAGTGAGTTTCCCCACAAGGAGCTGCCAGATGAAAGCAGTGCTGTGTGGAGGGAGCAGCAAGGTCACAGGCACAACACACCTGGGGCAGAGTACCAGAATCCTCACAAGTGACACAGGCTTCCTCCCTTTCTGTGGCAGCAATAGTAAAAAAAAAATAAAATTGGGAGTTAGATTACTATGACAGAAGGGTAAAAAAAAACCATACTCAAATCAAAGAATAAACCTGCATACTTTGGTAAACCCAGGAAAATCACAGGTACAAAACAATGTTACCTTTCTTCAATGACATTTCCATTGATTTTACTCTGTAAACCAGTACAATTATTGTTATCAAAACAAATCATCTTTGAAATTTGAAATCCCCAGCTAGGGAATATGTACCATAGACCCAAGATGTTTGTAGAGAGTGATCTGCTGAGCTGTCCTGCTGACCTGAGGAGCCAATGACAGCACCACTTCTCTTACATTGTTTGTGTGCTGAGTTGAACCCCGAGCGGCAGGCAGGCAAACAGCAGCCAGCAGCAGCTGTGAATTCAGCTGTGCTGCAGGATGTGCAGCTTTTCTCTCTGCAAACACTCAGCAGTCCCTGACTGCTCTCCTGCTGAAGTTCCATGCCCTGAGCCTGTGTTGAGGCTCCTGAGGACAGGGCATTCCCTCAGGTTCAGTTCAGCACTCACCAGACTCCAAGCCACCGTACTGGTAAGGGAACTGCACACACAGGCACAGCTGCAAACCAATCTGAGTCTTCCCAGCAGAGCTCTCCCCAGCCAGCTCTGTGATTCCCACCACAGGAATGCCTCCTTTCAACAAGCTGTCCAGCACTGCACAGCCCAGGCTCAGCTTCTGGTGCTGGGAGGTGAAAGGATCTTTATCTTGGTAGAGCTGAAGTGCTGCAGGGTTTAATGAGTAAAAAGTTAGTTTCATTTATTATTTTTCCAACACACAATGATACAAAATAGATGCTGTACACAAGGTTTATCCCTACAAGGGATGCTTGCTTTGTTGATGGAGAATTACCCTAATTCAGCCTGGTCTTGCCCACCTCTCTCTCCCCATCAGACCTCTGCTGAGTATCTGCACAAAGATTGATAATTTACACTGAGTTCTCTCCTCCTCTCCAACTCTTGTTTCCCTTTCTCTGCCTCTAAGGTGTCCCTGAGGAAAGTTACACTCTGAGAGGGTTTTGACAGCAAAGGTTCTAGCACAGCAATTATGGAAATAGCAGACAGAGTACAAAACAGCACAGCAGGCATCTGGTCAAAGCCTGAAGACACATGCAATCACAAGAAAATATATTTTAAATACAGAGTTGTCATTAAGCATTTGTACAGGAGGAGCTATGAGGTCCTGCTTGTTTTGGAATGAGGAGTTTATGACAAAGCAGTTTATGAAGCTTTTCATATGTGATATACATCAACTAGTCTTGGTCCAAAATGAGGACAGTGAGAGAGAGGAAGAGAGTGTGAAAGAAAAAGGAAATGTTTTGTTCCTGTGTTTAAGTGTTTCAGACTGGAGAAACACTTTGTCCTGTTTCAAGCAGGCTCAATCCTGAAAATGTCACCCATTCACTTCCATTTACCCCCAGGAGAGCTGTCCTTAGCACAGTTAAATAATTCACTACAGCACAATTAAAACACTTCCATTCTCACTTTAAATCCACATTTCTGTGTCACTGAGGAGCCAGAATCACATTTTCTCCCAGTGACAGTTCTGAACTTTAGCTAGAAGATGTTTTATGCCCTGCATTACCTGTGAGCATGCTGTTCCTCCTCAGGGTGTGAGAGACTGTTTTCAGCAGGCACTGGATGTCTGCACTGGAGAGCTTCATCAACCTCTGCAAGTCTGCTCCAGACAGGTTTAAAATCTCTTTTACTGATTTGATGTCAGCTGAAACAAGAGGAATTTTTATAAATACTTTTGGCTGACTTCCACGGCAAAGTTTTCCCAGTTTGTAATTCTCATTTACTTGAGGTTTATCTATGCTGCATTCTTGTATGGTGGGCAGGCAACACTCACGTGGAATGTACCTACACAAGCTGTAAAATTGTTTGGAAATTCATTATTGAAGCATGGGCAAAACTCAACACTTTTAATTACCCAGAAAACTTCTTTATGAAATACTTAATTACAGTTCTAAAATGTTAGTGTCCATCTGCCTGCTTATACCCACAAACACACAATTATGTCAAGGATGTCACTGTGGTGACAGATTTGTTAGACAGTGGTAAATTAAATTACCTTTTTTCAGGGCAGCAATTGTTTTAGGGTTCAAGTCAAACTGGTCCCAGTCCATCTCCTGTGTAATGAGCAGCACATCCCATAATTATCTGTGATAATTATCTGTGATAAAAGATAATTATCTGTGATTAAAGTCGCTTTTATCACAGACACAGGTAAGAAAAAATAGGCATAAATCAGTGTCAAAAGTTTCCAGAACTTTTTTTTTTCCTTCCTATTTTTAACAATACATTTATCAGTTATCTTAGAGAAGCAGCAATTATTCTGGGGTTATTATGAGAATTATTGCTATTATTATTTTATATATTGATGTAATTTTACTTGGGAAGAGTGTGGCCAGCAGGCTGAGGGAGGTGATCCTTCCCTTCTATCAGCCCTAAGTGAGTGCTGAGCTCAGTTAGGATGACCCAGGACTATTGATGCATTGGACAGTCATTTATTTAGCTATAAATTTATATTTATTAGCTAAAAGCAAATTTAATATTAAATCGTTAAAATCTGTTTGCTACTTGTGACAATATTAAACAGCTGTTTTAATACTTCGGTCAAAACCACAACAATTTAGCCCCATGGCTGCCTAGAAGAGGTTCTTAGCATTATTCTGATAAATTTATGAAGTATTGCAGCAGACAGCCAGTATTTATATGAGCATACACGACTTTATGAACAATCCCTTTTCCAACACGGGAGGGAGAGGTTGTGATGGCTGCTAATAGCAGAATAAATCTAAAAGAGAGGCAAGTTACTTTTAAGTAACACCCATTTAAACCAACACTCTGAGAAGGTTTAGAAGCCGAAACTTACCGACATCAATCATGGTTGTGACGGCCCTCGACTGAAGGGCTCCAAACCATTGCGCGCTCGCCGCTCACAGGGAGCCGCTCCATGGATGAGGCGCGGGGGAGAGCGAAACACCGGGAGCGGATCACGGTGCAGCCGGGGGCGTCCCACAGAGCCGGAGCGAGGGGCGGACAGCCGGACACGCGGATAGCCGGACACGCGGACAGCCGGACACAGGCACAGCAGGACACACGGACGGACAGAGCGCGGCGCCGCCACAGGGCCCTCACGCCGTCACGAATCTCCCGCCGCCCGCGCAGCCAATCAGCGAGCAGCCTGCCCGCCGCAGGCCAATCAGAGCTCCTTTCCGTGACTGCCCCGGCGGGACAGCCAATGGCAGGGCGGCGCTCGTTCTCCTACCGCTGGGCCGGCCGGGAGCGGCGGGGCCGGGCTGGCTCAGAGCCCCGGGCGGGAGGTGCGGCAGCGATCGGGGGCTCTCTGCGGAACCGCTCTCTGCGGAGCTGTCCCCTGCGGAGCCGCGCCCTGCGGAACCGCCCCTCGCGGCCGCGGCGGTCCGGGCTCCGTGTGCCGCTTCCTGGAACTCGGCGACCCAACCCTTCGCTTCCGGGTTGCGGGACACGAAGGAGGCGGGACTAGTGCACCGAGGAGCACGGGATTGGCTGGAAAGCCCTGAGCGCGTGGGCGGGGTCAGAGAGCTGCTGCTTCCCATTGGTTGGGTGCCGTGTCCATCGCGGAGCGCCGCGCGGCCATTGGGCGGCGGCGCGGCCGTCTCTTGGCGGCAGCGGCGCGCGGGGGAAGATGTCGGGCGGCGACGCGAAGAAGCTGGTGCGCTCCCCCAGCGGGCTGCGCATGGTGCCCGAGCACCGCGCCGCCCGCAGCCCCTTCGGCCTGGACGAGCCGCCCTGGGTGCCCGACAAGGAGGTACCGCCGGGGCAGGGGCGCCGCGCTTCCCTTCCCCATGTTCCTTCGTCCCTTTCCCTCTGCTTTTTCACTTCCCTTGGGCTGATGGGTTAAAGGACGCAGGGACGGGGCTGTCACTCGCTCCTCTCCGCTGTGCGGCCCCGGCGCGAAAATTCGGGAGCGATTGGTGATGAGAAGTGTAGCGAACTGTGCGGTGTTGCTTTAAATGCTTATAAAGGTGGTTTGGTTTAAAACTAACTGCATACATTATTGAAGCAATAGGGCTGAGGTAGAACAGCCCTTCTGGCTGCCGGTGTGAATGTTCGTGGTTAAACAGCCATTGAACAGCTCAGTCTGTTTCAGTCAACTTTGCTTTAAATACTTATTAAGTAAACAACTTAGCGATCGTGACATTTTTAATTTCACATAACGAGAGTTGATTGGTGCCAGCCGCAGCACCCAGATGCACAAACAACATAGAATCCATTGTTGGTTTATTTATTTATTGCCGGCGTTCTGTGGCGTGGACACACGCCAGTGCATTTACATGTGAGCGGAATGAGGATTTATTTAGTGTGGATTTCAGCCGGGGTCAGCCAGCAGAGCGTTCCCGGGCAGATCCGGACGTGCTGGGCTGTTCTGCACGGGAACACCGAGTCCTCCTTCGGTCAGGAATGGAGAACAAAGCTTCTCCCTCTGCCTCGTATCTCTGCGGGCAGAACGTCCAGCTAAAGATTATTTGGGGACTGTGGTAGGATCTAGTTAAACTTGTTAGATATACAGAGAGAATTAAGTCTGTGTATTTTAGCTACATCAGTCTGATGTGTGTTGTTAGTTTGAATTTTCTGTTACAATTCTATTGTAATTTCATTCTCCTTAAAATTCAGCTTTCCCCCTGTAGTCTGCAGATCTATGGGCTGAGGGTGTTGAATTGTGACTGAATGTGCTCAGTGATATTTGCTATTGAGAGGAAGTGTGACAGAGGTAAATACTTAAAATGCATTTGTTAATGCAAGATTAAGACTATGAATTGTTACTTTGTGGTTATTTTACTAGATTTCTGGAAGTAAAATATTTTTTTACTAAAAAAAAATTACTAGATTTCTGGAAGTATGCTAGAGTTCTGACATCCCTGTGGTTGACAATTGCCACATATGTTGCAAAATTTTGCCTTAAATAAAGCAGGTATGTGATACACGGGGAAGCTTATAAATCCCAAGTTTTTGTTAAGAACAATTAAATTTAAAGACACAGGGTTACCTAGGCAATGAATTAGTTGAGAAGGCTTGCTCTTGTTACCATGTCAGACATAATTAAAAATGAAGGGTCTGTGTCCAAGACCTTGAGTGGTATTAACAAATTCTGATCTGGCTTTTCAAATCCATTGGCTTTTGCTGTGCAGCCAGTAACACTCACAAATCCAGTAAATTTATTTTTCTTATGCAAGAGTCAACTGGCTTATTTTTTTAAATTAAGGCCACCTAATAATGATGGCAGTTGGTAGTTTTGTGCAGCTTATACAGCATTGAAATGTAATTAAGTTTTAAATTTTTTTATTACAAGATTATACAGTCTTATAATATCGGTAGCTGTGAGGAATTTGAAATGCAAGGCTGGAGCAGGACTACTGAAAAGTTTACTTTTTAAAGTAATTTTTTTTGTAGTAGAGGTAATGAGTTGAGGGGGATTTATGAAAGTCTGTGCTGAGCATCATTTACCTTAGGATGTTGGCATCTGCATGTGCCTTGTCTGACTCAGAATTTCTTTGCAGAGGTTCCCTGTGTTAGGGAGCTCAGCTGGGGCTTCCCAAGCATCCCTTCTTGAATCACTCTGTTATTATTTATGCAAATAAAGCATGCAGAGTGTAACTACAGATTCCTGGCCATCCATGGGATCCTCACCTCTGGCTGGATCTGTGGGATTATGGAAATAAGTTCTCACACTTGAGCAAATCCATGCCAAGTTTGCAATGAACCAGCTGTTGGTATTTTTAAATTAATGCCAAGATCCAACAGCTGTTGAAGGTTCTTCCATTTTCCTCTTTCTGATAATCTGTAATCTGATACTGCCATTGGTGCTTGACTGCACATGAAATGAATGTACTTCTGACATGAATTCTTACTTAATTTCTTGCTTCACATCTTTTTATTTGAAAACATGAGAAGTAACTTGGACACTGTGCTTCCTTCTCTGCTAATGTGATAAAACCCCTCCAAGCAATAAAACTTAATTAAATGCTAGTCACTCTCTGATTATGTCAGTGTATGGATGAATGGGAAGAATTCACATTTCAAGATGTTCTCAATAAATATCTTGTCCCAGGCAAAGCAGAAATTGACATTATGCAAATGGTTCACTCCATTCTGGTTACTTAAAGCAGAAATACCTCGAAGGAACAGTATCTTGAGCTTGCTTCTGTCAGAACTTTTTCCTAAGAAAATCCTATTTTGCAATGCCAGCTACCATGTGCTACTTGACTTGTGATTTATTTAGGACTGCTGTTTGTATCAGGCAGGGCAATCATCATGGGTCTGGAATTCAGAAATAATTTTCTATAGTTTGTGTTAAATAAGAGGATGGATAATTTTGTTCCTTCCTAAAAACCACTTTTATGTTTAGCCTGGCATTCTGTATGAAATCAATGTATTTGGAAGAGTTTGGGTTTGATTTTTTTTTTTTCCCTCTAGGTTGTGACTTTTGCTTTCTGCCTTTTGGCAAAAAACAAATAAAAAACCCCAGCCCAGGCGAACTAAAAAACCCCCCCACCACCAAAACCCAACCAATAACCTCCCAAATATTTTCATTATGAAAAATAATTTGAACTTGGGTAAATTGAAGGCATACCAAAATTATTGCCAGGACCAGCTCCCAGGGAAGCTGTTAAGCTACATGTCAAAAATTAAAACCAAGTAGAGCAGAAGATGACATTAGCTGTAGAGTTCTACTTGTTACAGAGGTGAAACCTGGTGTGTGCTGAAATTGCTCAATGCTGACATTATTTATCAGTGAGTGTTGAAATAAGCTTTTCTGCAGCCATTGTGAAGAGCTGTGTTTGGATGCCTCAGTTCAGTGTTAGTTAAAGCAATTCAGGAACACTTCCAGTGCTCTTCTGTGTGGGATTTGGAAACAGCTTGTTGTAACAAATTCTGCAAGTAGGAGTTTACCTTCCACTGCAGTGACTGCCATTACTGTCTAATGTGTTAAATGGCTGTTTAGACAGCAGAGCCTTTCATATAAACTATCACCAATTATTAACAAGCTTGCACTTGAAAAGGACATGAAAAATTTCTGGAGAATTTTTAATTTAGCTGCTGTAATATTTTCTTGGCTGCAGCTGTTGGATTTGTGACAGTGATTGAGTATCTGCTGGAGCAAAAGTCCCTGAATAGAAGCTGTTGTAACCTGAGGGGATTTATAGAAGAAAAAGGGTTAAGTATTGAAATGTGTTAATTAAAGGTAAAGGGTGATTACTGTGTGCTTAGCAAATAGCACCTGCTCAGCTCAGGGCATGTGGTGAAGAGGACATTCTGCTGTAGTCTGAGATTGTCTGCTTTGAGGAGTTTCAGTTTCTAACCAGGCATAATTTTGCATTAATATTTGCTAGTAAATACAGCAAAAGTCACATTATAAGCCTCAGACACTGGGGTTTGATATGGTAGATAAAAAGATGTAAAGTTTTGTTGAAAATCCAGTGACCTAAGGGTTGGGTATCAACTTTTTGGTAGGTGACTTTCTATACAGAAAATTTTGATTGTCCAGGTGTCACTGATCACTTCTTTCTGGTTGTTAACACAGTCAAAACTGTCACCCCTTAAACTCTACTTACTTGGAAGGGAGAAACTCCTTCAATTTTTTTCTGCCATTTTTTGAAAGGAATGTGTGGGTGTAAGTTTGTTTTAGGAAAGAGATATTTCAGGAAGTGACTTTTTGTAGCTGGAATAAGCATTAGGTCTTGGTGGCTTGGAAGAAAACCAAGTATCTCTTAGCATGTTTCAAAAATGTGTGAGTATTGAGAGCATTAAATTGTGTAAACAATGTTTTGGCGAGTCAGCAGAGCATGGTAGTAGAGTAAAGTGAGGACAACTTACATAAAACCAGTTGATTCTGGAATATGGAACTGTCTAGATAGCCAAACATTATCAATGTTTGAATGGTAAATAATTCTTAGATGTACTTTTGCCTGCTGGCAGGATGCACTATTCATTAGGGGGAAGTTTGGCAGCTTTTTTTTTTTTGTCTTGCAAATGGAGATGACATTATTTTGCTACATCAATATTAAATGAAAGCTATTCATGGTGAAAAGATAAGAGATGGAAATTTGTGGAGGTGTTTCTTTATGGGGCATAATATGAAGCTAATTCTTTGTATATGGTGGTAGAATTAAAGGTTTAAAAAGATCATAGACTAATCTTAATTTGTACTGTTTTCTAGTGCCCAAGATGTATGCAGTGTGATACAAAATTTGACTTCATAACTAGAAAGGTAAGATAAATTCATGAAATATGAAGCAGTAAGTGTTGCAAAATACTACCGTTGACATATTTTGAAAAGTAAACCAGGATTTGTCTTGAGTTTGGAAGAGAGAAATTCCAATTAAAGTAGAAAGTGAAAACTACATAATTAGGCTCAGTGGATGAAGAGAAAACACTAACATTACATTCTGTTATTAATGGTAAGAGGTCACTGTGGAATGCAGACTGGTGTGCAGAATATGACATGGAGAATTCTGCAAAGCACCCTCCCAAAGAAGGCCAGCAGTAATTTTTAGGAGGGAACATAATTTCTTTGTATAATTACATTGACACTTTGTTAGCACAGGCTTACAAAAGTGAAAAAAGATGTGAAAGTGTGACTTGTAGTGCAGTGACATAGTTCATGTTTTTTAATTTAATTGTTTGGAGGGAGAGGGAAGGAGGAATTTTAAACCAGACACACTCAAATGTTGTACCAGTTGACAAGCTGCTGTGTTTCCCTTGTGTTAGCTGTGGGAAGCAATTGGAGGTAGCCCTGGGAAATGGGTACTCCAGAGAATTTTGCAGAACATTTGGAAGGAAAGCCTAACACTGACCAAAAGTGCAGTGTTACCAGTTCCTTGTACCAAACTTTGAGGGTTGCTTTGAGCCACAGATGAGTTCCTGCTTGCCTGGGAGTACTTGTTCTGTCATGAGAACTTGCATCAGGAAGATCTGCTGGCACTGTCACACCCCTGATCTGGAGCACAGGCCACTGGTTGCAGATTTAGGGGCTGTGAAACACACTGCAATACTCGGTCTGGTTTCACAACTTCCCTGGATTTGTGCTGTGCTGCCTGATGCTTCTGATAAAAGGAATAGCTTTAGGTTCTAAGTATGAAGATTCTTAGATTTTTTTTTCCCATGGGAATAAGAGAATAAGTTTTAAAAGAGAGAATAAGTTTTAAAAGAGAATAATTAGTATTTTTAGTTGAAGAAGAATAGAAACTTCAGTTGAAGAAGAATAGAAACTTCAGTTGAAGTTTTCCAAGATCTTTTGCCAGAAGTGTGAAGGGACCTGGAAACCTCTCTTCTCATGGGTTTTTATTGACAGGGAGGTGAAGGATTTTCTGGAAATCAGAGGACCCTCTTTTTTGCTCCAGAAGCATCTTTACAGAGTGCTAGCAAAGGCTTAGAGTGTTGCTGTTCATATCATACTCAGTCCTTTGTGTCCAACCTTCAGAGATTCCTGTAACAGTTCATTTCTTCTACCTGTCCCTCAGCTTGCACGTTTCACACCTGAGAAACTTGTAGTAACCTCTTAGTTTCCTTAGTGAAGGAGGTGTTCTCTCGTGCTTGTAGCATCACTGCAGAAGGTGTGGGAAGTGTTTCTGTGACAAGTGCTGCAGTAAGAAAGTGCCTCTGCCCCGCATGTGCTTCGTGGACCCCGTGCGGCAGTGCGCCGAGTGCGCCCTGGTGTCGCAGAAGGAGACCGAGTTCTACGACAAACAGCTCAAAGTGCTCATGAATGGTAAGAACCCAGAGTGCTGGTTGTGGTTATTCAAATGCCAGTGAACAGCAAGAGCAGTGCTTCTTGTCCAACAAGCTGTGGTTTTGTTTCCTCTTTGCTGTGCCTCTTGTTTTGCAGTTAGTGATTTTGTGTTAGGGGTTTATTCAGAGAGAGGTTCACACTTCGTAGTCAGTGTTTGCACCTCTCAGTTTGTACTTCTTGGTCTTGATGGAGAGTGATTTAATTAAAGATAAATTTTTAATACCTGTGAGAACAGATGAGTGTGCAGTTGGCATTTTCCTTGAAATAATGCATCTTTTAATCATATTCCTGTTACATTAAATAAGGATGAAAAATACTTGAGAGAATATTTTAACATTTTCAAACAAGATAGAGTGCTTGTTTCAAGCTTCATCTGAGAGCTTTGATCTTGTCCATGGCCTGCAGCTGTGGTTGATGGCAGATCATCATGAGTACTCAATTTTCCGTAGGTTTAAACCTTCACAATACAGTAATTCATGTTCCAGTTACATTAAGAAAGCTGAAACTTCAGTTTTTAAAATAGTCTGTGATCCTTCAGTGCCTTTTGATGATCTCTCAGCATGATGCCTGTGTGCATAATGGGTAAGCTAAGCCCCACATGTGATGGGCAAGGATGTTCCTGGGGAGATCTTGGGTTCAGAAGGGAGGGAGTGTGCTCATCCTGGAGCACATAAATCATTCTTCACTCTGCTTTACCATGAGGGCGTAGATGAGTTTTTAAATCCCATCTTTTAAATTGAAGATGTTTTTTTTAAGTCTTGTCCTGTTTGCTTTCATGTTCTGAAGTTGTTCCTGCCTTGCTGTAGAGCCACAGATGGTGGTCAGAGAGGTGGTAGTGGTGGCTGTAATGTCCTTCTCCAGCCTTGGTGCTGCTGTCTCTGTCTCACTTGAGCAGCACAGGCTCTGTGCTGGGCTCAGTGAGCCTGGGTGAGCTGGCAAGTAAGGAGGTGAAGCTCCAGGGCTGCATGGTTCAGGTTATGGGGATGGATTGCAGACCATTGGGCAGGGCTGGATGTTGTTTTCTTCGTTTCCCAGGCCAGCAGGATTGGGTAACACAGGGAACATGAGGCATGGAGGAAGCAAAGGGGTCGGGCGTGTAGGGCTGTTGCAGTTCTGAGTCACCTCTCCAGTGCAGCAACAGTGACTTTGCCCTTGCCAAAGCAGTTTGGAGGGGGAAGAATCAACATGAAAGCTGAAGTTCATTGACCTCACAATAAGACTGAGCCAGCCTTCAGTAATGAAAAAGAGATGTCTTTATACTTTCCTAAGCATAGAACTGAAGGTCACATCCTGCTAATAAATTGGGTTTTTTTAATACAGAAACAATCATTTGTGTTACAGTAATTGCCTGTCTTTGCCACCTCCAAATCTCTTCTCATTTTTAAAAGATTCCTCTTGGATATCATCTGCATTTCTACACATGGGAGAAATAGCATAGCGTATGTGAAAGGTCCTGTAAGTCAGAACATGATAATTAAAGATCAGGCTTTTTATACTTGAGTGTTTTGTGATGTTAATCAGTTTAATTTTTCAGTTATTCTCTTATTTCACTCAATTCAGTGCATTAGTAAGTAAAAGTTAGCTGTTCTTTCTGGTACTTGAATGTTGCTTCTTGAATTCTGTCTTAGAATACTGAACCATTTCTTTCCAGGTGCTACATTCTTCGTAACTCTGGGAACATCTGATAAATCTGAGCTCATGGTTTGTCGACTCTCCAACAACCAGAGGTGAGAAAGATTGATGGAAACTGCACTTGTAAACTGTAGCATTGATGTACTTACAGCTCTATTCTTACATAATAACCTAAAAAAAATATGAGAGTAACATGCCCTGAGGATACTGGAGAGAGTTATCAGATTGAAAGGGTAGATCCAGCAATACTGGAATGTTTGCTTGAATTTACTAACAGTGTGGATCAGAATGTCTTGGAAGGGTGAAATTTCAATGAAAAGTAACATTTTTTGCTTGATTTCTATCACTCCTTGCCCCAAAGAACACATAAGCAGCATTACTGAGAGATTTTTTTTTCCTCTGATTTGGACTTGTTATTGTAGAAATAAACCTAAAAAAACCATTTTTCTTCTATTATGTAGATACCTGGTTTTGGATGGAGACAGCCATTATGAAATTGAAATTATACAGATTTCAACTGTTCAGATACTTACAGAAGGATTTACTCCTGGAGGTAATATTTTCTTTTAATATAAATGAAATATTAAGAAAAAAAAAAAGAAGCTGCAGTTATTGAGCTAGACAGTGAATTCAGTGTTTAACTATTGGTTACAACTGCCCTCAGAATAGAGCACAGTCTGTGAGACCCTGTCCTATGTGGCTGCTGGGATTTGGGGGAACACCTAAAGATTTAGAAGTTCCCCCACAGCCTTAATGTGGGAGAGACTCTTGATAAACCTGAGTAAGGGTGGTTGTCACCTGTTCTCTTGGGTATGTACAAACATTTACTGATTTAAGAGCTTACAGGAGGGACCTAATAGTCTTTGGTAGCTTCCATTTCAGAATCCAGCTGGGATTTTGCCTGGACTGGTTCAAACATTGTTAACAGAATGAAATGGGGGAGGGAGAGTAAATAATTCAACTATCCTTTCTTAATTTAATTCAAGACAAAGGGGTGGCCAAATGAAACTGGTAACATCTAAATTGGAGTGCAGCAACTTACTGCCCCATCTCTTACCAGATTTTAGAGTATTTCAGGATGAACCTGAATATGAATTGACTGAAATGAGAACAAACAAGGTCAGGAATTTCAATAATTGTTCTTTATCAACACTTCTGTCACTGCTGGGTTTTTCTAATTGCACAGCCCATCTGTGCATTATTCAGTCAGTACAGCATGTTAACTTGAATAAACTTACCTTGGTATTTAAATCACCCAGGTATATTGCTGAGTCACTTAGTGCTCCTGTAATTCCTTGTTCACTACTCTTCTGATTGCTTTATCTCTTTTCTGCCTGCCTTCCTTATTGATGGTAGAAAAAGATATTCACACTTACACCAGCCTCCTGGAGAGCCAGCCTGTTACTGAAGGTATCTGCAGTGCCTTTCAGCATGACTCACCCAAGCATGCCATGGCCCCCTCCCCTCTTTCTTCTCTGCAGTGCTGATTATTTGCTTGATCCATAATTGCTGTTCAACTTGAGTTATGTTTGAGTCTGACAGGTATCTGTTCCTTCCCATATGTCTGTTCAGTAAGCCAAGAGTGAATGTTTTGTAACACTCTGGAGGAGAACTAAGGTACTCAAGGCCTTCTTTAGACCAAAGTGTTGTTGTCCGTGCTGGGAGGAGAGATGAGAAATGCTGTCTGCAGTAGTACACAATATTACAGATCATCTGCTTAGCAGGTTGCTGAATTTGGCATACTAGAAATGAATATACTCCCTGTGTGCTGTCTGGAAAGGCTTTGCACTGAAACTGTTAATTATTGGCTTGCTTTTACACAACTTTAAAAGAAAGGCCTCTTTGTTGTGCAAGGTGTATTTTGTCTTAGTAATGCCAGACATGGGCAAGCTGGTCAAGGCTGTGGGTGTGTGATTTCCACTGGTTTATCTTTCAGTAGACCCTTAATCCATTATTCTGACCAGTAGGTTCAGAGAAGCCATTGATGAAGTTGAATTTCCATTTATCCTAGGAGAGTAGAAAGTAGCTCTTTTATAAACCCTGCTGTGGGCTTCTGATTGGGTTAGGTACATTAACAGCACTAACTAGATTGAGTTTGGCTTAGATTGTGATTTGTTTTCGCTCCTCAGATATTGCAGTAACAGCCTCCAGGGGCCCTCTCATGCAGACACTTCTAAAAAGAGCTTTGTAAGAAGTGTCCTGTGTATGCTAGTGCTGTTCCTAGAGCTTATGAGAGAGAGTTTATGCTCCACTGCTGCAGGAAGTAATGACAGTAATGTGTCATTCTAAAAGTTCTTGTTAAATGTTTGTATTTTTGCTTTGGTTTATCTTCATCTCTGTAGCCTCAGTAAGAGAGAAGCAAACACCTCGCTTATGCACTCTTGGCAGAGCAGTCTTTGGCAGCAATTTCCTTCAGGAAGTAAATGATGTTGCCAGCTGTTCTCTCTTATGTAAGCACCATTCCAACCTTTGCCAGCTTTGGAGGGACTGCTGCCTGCTTTGCCATCAGTTTGATTGGACCCTAAGCCTACAGACTGCAGGCTACTGTATGAAACTGTGGTAACGGTGTCTTAACAGGGTGCTAGTAAATCATGAAGGTGTTCCAGGTGTGTGGCTTTACCTGAAGGCTGATGCAGGTTCTGCCTTGGTGCCTGGCAGAGAGAATGAAGCAATAGGAGGCTGCAGGTTCCACTGCCTGCACTAACAAGCTGTGGTCATGAGCTCCTCAGATCCAGCAGCTACTTGTGCTCTGAACTGAGCAGTGAGCACATTTCTCCAAACATACCCATGAGCTGGAAAATGCTGTGTTACTTAGTTGGTAAAACCTGCTGCTGTTCCAGATGTTGTTTCTCTTTCCAGGAGGCAACACTCGTGCCATAGGAATGGTCCTGCAGTACAAGGTGCCGGGGTCAGAGGAGGTGATGCAGATGAAGTTCACTGCTGGTGAAGACTTCAGCTGTAACAAGAAGCTGTCAGCAGCCTGGCTGGCAGCTATGCATAAGGTAAGCAAAGCAGCCAAAACTTAGACAAGGCTGAAGAAAATCTTTACCTAGGCTGTTCAGCAGCACCAGAGAGAGCATTCAGCCTAGGGAGTGTTTCTGTTATTTTTTTATCAAGGACTTCAGGGCCTTGTTGCTTGGAAAACAGAAGCTATGGCTGGGTGTAATGAACATGACTTTAGCTTTCTGCTCAGAGACAGGAAGAATTTATGCACAATTTATGCACACACAGAATTTATGCACTGAAGGGTTTCCCAAGGTCTCATGTATGTTTTCATCATGTATGTATGATGAAAAGAACTAAGAATTTGGCTTTAAACTTCCTTGGATTTTCTTACTGGCTGAAGAATGTGCACTATGAAATACTCATTTGACCCTAAGTTCAGTTAATTGTTTTTACTGCTTCTTGAAGATTTAAAGAAGTTGTTGATTTTGGAAATGGAAGAGTTTAATCTTTTGGTGCTAGGCCCTGCATGGGTAATGAAACTGAAGGTTGGTATTTGGTAAATAAAAGTTATGGAGGGAAAAAACCAAAGCCACATTCCAGTCAGTCAGCTGATCAATTGCTGATCAGAACTGTCATTATAATGTGTATGGGCAGGTTTGTGGCTCTTTGTTGCTTTATTGCCATTTTTGAACTCCCCAGGTGCCCCTACTCCAACCTTTACTGTGCTCAGCACAGGTGCTCAAACTTAGATCACCATGCAAGTGTATTCAGCACTTCCTGAATGCTAGTACAGGCCTCAGATGGAGGAAAACAAGGAAGAATTTAAAGCCCAGGATTTAAAGGAGGTTTTTGGAGGGGTGGGAAGCAGATAAGGTGGCTACAAGTGAAACTTCAGTTAACACTGGCATTTTCCCTTTCTGTTAGGCAACAAAACTTCTCTATGAGTCTCGGGACCAGTGAGAACTGCAGCTGTGGCCTCCTGGGGACACACAGACACCAGCCTCCACTGACCTGCCTCTCACTTTGTGCTGATTTGACAGCTGGAAATATTTGCTGTTCTTGACTCTCTCTCTCTCATTCCAGCATGGTTCATTATGTAAGAACTGGCAAATGCAATGTGAGTATTTTTTTGAACCATGAGTATTCACGGTAGTGTGCAATATGTATACAGTTAATGCTTTAAACAGCCTCACCTTTTAAGACTTTGTATATTTTGTTAAGCCTTTACTGGCACTTAATATGAAAGTGACCTGCACTACAGCTAATGTACAGCACAACTTTTATAGTAACCATTATATATACTGTTTGCTACAGGAAGCAAACAAATGTGTATGTCTCTTCTGCAGAGAATAGCTTTTGGGTATAGATCTCAGGTTTTTCCCTCTATCCAAATGTTTAAAATCAATGTACAAAAAGAAATCTGCCTTAGATATGATTTTATAGAAATCACATGGGTTTTTTTAAACATCTAAATTTTTCACTGAATACCACCAAATTTGACTTGTATGAACTCGACCGTGAAACTTCACTTCTGTAATAAGCTTCCAGAATAATTTTTAGTTTTGTATTTTCTTTTTTGGTAATGAGCTTTTGTTAATCTAACTGTAATGCTATCTGAAATTGTATACAATTTAATGTACAAATATGAATAAATTAATTCACTTATTTAAAAAAAGGTGTTATTTAATTTTGTAATATACAACTTCTTTAGTAAAGGCCACCATAGTCTCTGAACTGTAAAAATTTTCACTTTTTCTAAAGAAAACACTAATTTTAGTTCTAAGTTAACTTTTCCCAGTTGGAATACTGGGATACTAGTGTGTAAGCACATCTTCAGTGAAGCTGATAAAACAAGGAGGAAAAGTGGGTTGTCAGCTGTAACCTTGGCAAACTACAATCAGTGTTTTCATGCAGACTCTGACCAAAGCCACATCTGCTGTTGAGACCTCTATAAAGAGAGTGGAGAATGCAGCCATGCCTTAGCAGTACTTTATTGTGCACATTTACATGTTCTCTGAATTAGTGTATCATAGGCTCTTGAAATCATCACATTCATGTAGCAAATTCTTCAACAATAATACCCTTTCACTTTTCACCACAATATATACAGTTAATGCTGACCTGTGGTAAAAGCAAGTTACAGCACTGCAGAAATGGATATATAAATTATACACAGAACTTGTACATGAAGAGTTAATCAAATTGCATACTGTTAAATGGGAGAAAATTACAAGAAATATGGCTAAAACTTATAACGGGAAATTCAAAATATACTTTTGGTATATAAAATCATGTACAATTAAAATTCCAGTGAAGTGCCTGTTTGTGGGGTTTTTCTTTTTTTGCTTGAAACTACAATGTAGTGGAACAGGTTATTGCATAACTTGCCTTGGCAGCAGTTGTAGGCTGCCAAGAACCACAGAAACTGTCCTCAAATAAGCTATTGCCTTTCTTAAATCCTTCTCTAAACCTTGTTTCTTTCTTCTCCTCCACTTGGCATCTACACGACCCTCTTTCTCTACTTCTATCCAGTCCTTCATATTTTCTTTTAGACCGACTACTCAGGCAGACTTCAGGTGACACAGTATATAACCCTTACCAGACTCTTACCCTTTTCAACTATTGCACTTTCATCCCTGCAGACATACAGATCCCTTAAGCTGCTGCAACTTCAGTACTAACTGTTGTGTCCAGGCTGGACGAGCTCGGGGGGTTAGTAGGGGAACCTTTACATTCGTAGAGGTAACACCGGTGCTGTAGGCTGAATAATAAGAAAATAAAACACCAAGTGAATATTGTGTAGGGACTTTGAGAAGTGTACAAATACTGTTGGTTTTTGTTAGTTCTCTAGCTTGATTCTAAATGCAAATACTGCAAGATGCTAGACTAGGTAAAGCTTTCGTTTGGGGTTGTCCAGACTAGGATTTAAGTGTTTACTATGTTGCCACCTAAAATCCTAGCCTTCACCAAGCTTTGGTAACTACTTAATTATGCATGTAACAGGTGAAGATCTTGTGTCCTAGAACCCAAAGAGTTGATCGGTAATGAGAACTCAACATTCACTGGTATGGAACAGAAATACCCAAAATCCCGACATGGGACAGTTGCTGTGGGGGGGTTGGAGCAAACTGGACAGTGCATCTGCACTCTGCAAATGACACCTCTGAACATGGAACACAAGGAAGCTCCTACCACGGAACTCTGGCTGAAAACACCGCGGGAGACGAGAGCTGGCGCAGCACTGGCGGTAGCGGAGGCGTCGCTCTCCTCCTCAGTGCTGGTCACACAAACAATCCTCGTTACAAACTGCAGATCTTGGAAATCGTGGATGCTGTCCATTTAACAAGAGAAAGCACCATTAAAACTAAATATCATAGTTTTATTTCTCTGTGTGAAATGACCAAAAATGATGGCTCCAGTGTATGTTCTAAGTTTCCAGTTACCAGCATGGTACTGCACTGTTGTACAACTGAATTCAAGCAAGGGTTCGCTGTCGAGGTTTTATTCGTGGATATAACTAAAAAAAACAGAATAACAGTATTAGGCTTTGCATGGTTAATACCAACTTAATTTATAACTAAAGGGGTACTTTAGGCAGAACTTATTAGGCAGAAGTGAGTGATGAAGTGTTTTGGGGGGTGGGGTTTTTGTAAGCTTGAGGGTGTTCTTAGGCCACTCCTGAAAAACAAGGAGCAGGAGGAAAAGGGCTGATTTACTGCTGCCAATGGCAGCAACATGGCTGCTCTGAAAATGACATGGTACATTTAGCTCAAGATCCAGAACAGACAAAGGATGCTTTTACATAAGTACAGAAATTCCCTGTTGAACACTCCAGAGAGCTTATTTCCTGCTCTGTAAGGTTCTCTTATGCATTTTGTCCTCAGTAGCTCTCTACTTAGTCACCTAACATTCCTGGCCTCTCCTGACAGTGTTCCATCTGTCTGAGCAGCATAAACAATGTGCCCACAGTTGTCATCTTCAAGGCTCCCCCGTTTTAAACTCACACACACCTATGTCCTTATCTTGTGTCAGGTACTAAAAACCTTCCCAAAGAACTTTCTGAACCGAGGCTTCAAACTGCCTAATAGAGCCACCATATTTTCCATAAGGGCTCTATATTTTAGCCAAGGAGGAGAAAAAAGTCTCATTAAAGCATAAACTATATTAAATATACTAACTTGCTCAATGACAACCAGCACCAGTCTAACAGCAGCCTCTCCTGTTTGTTTACAATGGCACAGAGGCCAGAGAGAATAATCTGCTTTACACCACTTCCATGTGCTGCGAATGGTGCACAGAGGGATTCTGACTAAAGATCCATCTTTTGTTCCTACTTCAGGTGCAGGTGACAAACAGAAGGGAGAGGTAAAGAACTTACCCCCAGGAGGTTTTTAGGCACATAGCCTTCCTTGTCATTGAGGCGGGCCCACCACCACTCCGTCTCATTGTCATCCTTGCGCCGCAGGATGGTGATGGCATCGCCCTCGTGGAATGACAGCTCGTCATTGTTCTGGGCTTCATAATCCCACAGAGCATACACCACCCCTTTATTCATCACTCCCAGCTTCTCCTGCACTCCTGTTAACAACACCAGATGGTAAAATAGACTCTTCTTTCCCTCTGAGATTTTTATTATTGACACAGTGGCCCTAATATTAGTCTCCTGTTAATAACATTTTATGAACAGTTTTCAGCACTTCCACGATGAAATGCTGTCAGAAATTTAACTGCATGATAAAACAAAATCTTGCAGAATAATTTAGAGAATGAGTTTTTCTCATTTATTATACGTGCAGTGGAAACCACTTCCTACAACAGGCCTTCTACAGGGACACTTGAGGCTTTCAAAGCTCATACAGTGTCAGATCTGAAACAGCCTTAATGAAGCTTAAATCCTCTCATGGAAATAAAAAATTTGTCTGCTCCATTGAAGTGCTTTTCCTGCAAAATATATTTTAGTAACCAAGCACTCCTGTAAAATAATTATTCATAAAGCATATTTCTTTCTTTGTGTGATCTGCTAGAAATTTGGGTATAGATCTCAGATGATAATAAGATAGTTCTGAATTTCAGCATAGGGATGAAAATCAGAGCACAGCAGCACTACACAGACACATGCTGCCTTGTCAAAATGCCTTGGAAACATCAACTCTTAATATAATTTTATGGGAAATAAAAGGCTGCTCCTACTACTAGAATTCAGTTGACAGCCTGTGCATCAGGAAGTTAGGAGTCTCTCTGTCAAAACACTTGCCAACTCACTGTTATGGTCAAAACCTCCCTGTAGAAGCATTTCCTGAAATGAAGCCAAATTAAAACTTTAAAAATCTTAACATTTGAAGGAGCCTGTGAAGTAATTCAAAACCCAGAAGGACTAAGACCAACATCACAGTGAAAAGGTGATGCTGGTTTTAGCTCTTAGAAGGCACAGGGATGTAATGTGCCATATCATCCAGTCTGGGGCCTAAGCAGATGTTTCACACAGATCAGAGGGACAAGTCAGGATCAATCTTAAGAAAGATGTGGTGTCACAGCTTACCATACAAAAACTGGGAACACTGAATATAACCTTCTTCCATCTCCTCACACTTGTCTGCAGCAGTTTCTATATCACTTATAGTTGAAGCAAAAATAGCTGCCCCAGATTCAACCAGTAGTTTACAGAGATGAACACTATTGCAAGAAGCTGCACAATGCAAGGGTGTCCTGAAATAAAGCAAAAACATGTACATGTGAAAAAAGAAGTTTCCATGAATTCTAACTTTCATCTTGCCCTTTAGAGCCTGTCTGTTTTAAAAGGAAATTTTTCTTTATGTTTAAAGGATGTGTATGCATTGTGTAAAACCTGTCAAGCAGCTAGGATGGATTTCAGGACTTACCTGACTCCAGTAAAGCCAAGCATTATGAAACAGATGATAGCAAAACTAATAATTTTCACAGCTTACAAAGCTGTTGGGTGTGAAAGGGTATTTTCTAATACAAGGAAACCTGAAAGGTAAAACAAAGTTGAGGATTCACATTCCCACCCCTCAAAAAGACTTCAGGAATGCTACAGCTACCTGTGAGGTGAGATTCTTCAAGAACACCAGCATCTGTAGTGGTATTTTGATGAAGAAACTTAAGCAAAATAACTTTTGTCATTTGTCATTTATAGTTTAATTATTTCAACATCTGAACAAGAAATGCAACTCTACCATTAATTATCACAAACTGTAATCTCATTTATGGTTTGAGTGCGCTTGCTTGGGAGCTGTAACCTTGCATTTGAGTTCAACTCCACCTACAGCTTAGAGAGTACTCATTTGATGGGGGTAAAGAGGAAGGAAATTGTTCCCAGAACAGGTTTCAATTAAATTTTGAATGTGCATCTAAATGGTGCTTCTCCCAGACACCAGGTTAAAAATCTTGACACTTACCAGCCATCACTATCTGCTGCATTTACATTTACACCAAAATCGAGCAGGAACTTCACAATGTGGTGATGACCAGCACACACTGCATTATGCAAAGGTGTAATGCCTTCATCATTTGGTTTACTGGGATCATCAACCTGTTGAAAACATAAAATAGTTTAGCACTTCCTTTTCCCTGAATACTGCATGGGGTTGCCATTGTTTAAAAGCTTACCTCATATATGATTCGTTGTACCAGATCAAATTCACCCTCCAAAGAAGCATCTAGGAGGAGAGCCAAGGGATTGAACTTCACTCTCAAACCATGGCCTGTTCTTTCTGAGTTGGGTTTCTTCAAGTTGGTACGTTTTGTCTGAATAAAGATGAAGGTTGGAAGGCAAAATTTCAGGTTGTACAAGTAGGAAAAATGATTCATTTATGAATTTCATCTTCCTTAAATGATATTTAGAGCTATGAAATCATTTCTATTTAAGTCTCTAAATAAAAGGCTTGATACATTACTACATTTTATGCAGTTAAAAAAATGAAAAAGCAAGCCAATATAGTTTCAAAGCTTCTAATTAAATATAGTGAGTACAAGGCATGAAGTACTTAAGTCAGTGTTTTAAGCATCATCATCTTAATTGTATCTAATATAAGGTGTGCATATTACTGGTGGATTATCTAAGACACTGAAAACTTTTGCTTAGCCTGGAAAGCACCACACAATTAAGCCAGAGTCTGTACTTAGAGGAATCAATGCCTTGAATGAGCAGGAGTCTCTGTTGAAGGTCAGACCTGGCAAGTTGGGAGTTTTGTTGGAGGAACGAAAAGTACAGAACATGAAGCTATTTTATGTGACATTCTAGCTGGTGTTATCAGAAGCTGCATTTTCAAGATCTGAAGCACATTTAAATGTGTTTT